GATGAGGATGATGCTTCTTCCTTCTTCTAGCTCACCAATGGGTAACTAAACCTCATCTAGGGAGGTGATGAAACCCCTCCCTTGTAAGCATGTGTTAGTATAGTTTATTTTTGGGGATTACAATGTATTTTTGATAGTCTTTCCATGGTCAAGAGCCTCATTTTTGTTGTAATGAATGTTGAATGTTTTAAATGATTATTGTGAGTTATTCATCTTGTCTTGGATGGTTGCCTTTCTTAATCATATTGCTTGCACTTCCATGGTGACAATGGAAGTTAGATCATGGAATGGTTTTAATGGCATGGAGTTGGAGAACCTAGATAGTTCATGGCTTAGGGTTTCCCTTTGATGGGCTATACTTGATTCTTAGCTTTATGTGCATTCACCATTTAAATTAGGGCTTGATAATCCTTGGCTTAGTAAGCATGTTCTAAGCTACATTTTAGTTTAGGTAGTTGATCATGTGAACCTTTGATGGTTTATTCTTGCCTTTCTAATTAAATGAACTTCTTAAGGATATTATAGAAACCTAGTATTGTTATGTATCATGACTATCATATATGTTGTTTTCCCCTTAAATTAATCTTAACCTAGCATGTGTAGAGGGATGGAGGTGGATTCATTTCCCTAGCCTTCTTTACTTGTACTCACTCCCTTGAATTCTTGCAATTTACTGTTTTATGCACTTTTAATTTCCTAGCTTAAGTGACATCCAACAAAACCTCTATACACCCTTCATCATTCTAAGAATGATTCTAGACATTTAGGTTGTATTAGACTAGCGTAGTCCCTGTGGTTCGACTTACCCGACCAATAGCCCTATTTTACAATGATTCGTGCTATTGCGAAGGTTGATGTTAATTGACCAACCGATCATTAACTCATGTATTTGACATTGATAGTATGTTTAAAGCATGACTTTTGACTTATAATGGATTTATGAGTTATGTTTCAATATTGGATTATATTGTTATAGCGCGTAACGAATCGCGCTCTGAAGATTCGACATGTGATGTTATTATAGTGCGTAACGAATCGCGCTCTGAAAATTCGACATTGTCATCCTATAGTAGTTGTGGATTTAGAGCATGTGTTGTGTGGTTTCACCCTACTTGTGCATGGAGGTAGTTTCGTGTACTATTTAATACGTATATAAGTTGTAAACTTATCTATTTATTTTGGAACCACTTAGGACATTTCATGATGGCTAGGGTTTGGCTCTAGTACGGGAACAAGAGTCCTCTAAGTCAAAAGTTCACGCGTTGGGTAGGCTGCTTGGGGGTTAGTAGCTCCAAATTAGCCTAGAAAAGTTCGCGCGTTGGGTAGGCTACTTGGGGGTTAGTACCTCCAAATTAGCCTAGAAAAGTTCGCGCATTGGGTAGGCTACCTGGGGGTTAGTAGCTCCAAATTAGCCCTGTATCGGTCTCATCCGACTAATGTCCAAGTCTTCCACTATTTGTTTTCGCATTCAATTCCAAGTTATCAATCATGTTTATATTGTGACTGTGGTTTTGGTTATTGGCTATTTGATGTTGTTAAGTACATCCATACTAAATTGCTATATTTAGTTGATTTAGCATTTAGATTTCAAGTTGATAACTTTGAGAATCTATATCTAGTTGCTTTGTGTAAGCATGTTTCTATCTGGTTGCTTTGTGTAAGCATGTTTCTAACTAGTTGCTTTGTGTAAGCATGTTATATCTTGTTGCTATGTGTAGCATGCTCTTGTGTTGTTGAAATTGCATAAAGGATGTATTTTATGCTAGAAATGATCTTAGGTAGCTAGGATGCTCCCTGAGTTTCACCTTTGACATAGACGTTAGGTGGAATGAACCACAATAATTAAATCATGTACACTTGTAAAACGTAGGTCGATGCATGCTCATTTCCTATGAGTAGCTTTATGTTACTCACCCATACGATACTGGGGCATATTTCAGGTACATGATACAAGATTGGAGATTGTAATTGCTTGGGTGATTTGCTGAGTTGAGCTTCTTTAGAAGCATTCTTGTTCACATGCAAGTGTTAGCATGTTCATGATTTGTCTATGAAATGTAATTTTTCTAACTTGGAGGTTTGACATGTCAAATGTTATAAATGTATTGTAATGAGGCCATAGGCCATTGTAGCACATCTATTTTATCATATTACATACACTTGCATGCTCACTTTGGCAAACAATACATTCCTTGATAAAACAAAAACTCTAAGTAGCATTTTTAGGGAGTTTTACCCTATTCTGTTCCAAGGGCATTTCGGGTATTTCACAATGTGTTTTTTTTATTTTTCCACATGAGTCACGTAGAAAACTCAATTTTGAGGGGGGTTTTTTCTTTGTGTTTTTCCAGAAAACATCATCTTGGCCCTCAAAAATCAATATTTTTTCCTAAAAATCCTTGCTGCCAGGTTTTTGCAAATTTTTAGTACAAATGTAGTTGGTCCTATTCATCGACTTTTTTTTGAAAATCGTCACGACCGATTCGAAACTTCCAGAGGTCTTGTGGGTGTATTTTAAGATTGCATTTTCAATTTAGGCAATTTAAAAACCTCCCGAAGCCCTATTTCCAAAACTTGGGCAGTAGCTCGGATTTTTTTTTTCCTCTTGACCTGATTTTCTTGGGGGCATTCTGGGCATTTTACAATGTATTTTTTTTGTTTCCGTCTGTGATCGGGGTAGGAAACTTGATTTTAGGGGGGGTTTATTTTTTGAGTTTTTCCAAAAAGGTCCGTTTAGATGCCCGTTTTTACTCTCAGTTGCAACAGTGGTGGGTTGTCCTCGTCGGGCCGCCACGACATCATTTTTTATTTTGACCTTTTTTCCCCATCCGGACTCCAAATTGAGTAAACTTTTTTTTGAACTTGACTAATTTGTCATTGTCTTTCCAGCGGTGTACTTGATAGCACCTGAATCCACTTTTTGCAAAATGACCATTTTGCCCCTAGGTTCCTTTTTGTTCGTAATTGAAACGTCACTAACACATTTGTTTTCCTTTGGATTCCGTGACCTCATTGAGGGTCACATTAGTGTCTTAGCGACATATGGTATCTTTAGAGACCGTTGTTTCACCTTTCGCTTCCGCATTTCGGATCCGTTATCGGGTCATCTTTTGGTCATCACTGACGCACCGAGTTCACAAAACTTTGGCCGTCACATTATTAAGCTCGACTTTCTAAAGCCTTCAATAAGAAAGTTCGACCTCGGTCATTCAAAGTTCGAGACTTAGTTTTAGCTGTTCGAAGACCAATTATCATGAATCACAAGGGAAATAAATTTGTATCCTAATGGGATGGACCATATGTTGTTTATGAAGTTTATACTAACGGCGCATATCTCATTATTGATGAAGATGGAGTAAGAGTGGGGCTTATTAATGGCAAGTTCCTGAAGCGCTACTACCCATGAAGACCATGCTCCTGATCGTACGAGCTTAAACTGCATTATGCTCCTGGCCCGCATAAGCTAAAACTGTGTATGGCCCAAAAAAAAAAAAAAAAAAAAAAAAAAAAAAAAAAAAAAGAAGAACATGGAGATAATAAATCATTTGTTTTATTGTTGAGATTCAAAGTTACAACTTTTGGGGTTGCATATATAATGATCAATATTAAAATTCCATAGCTATGATTTCGTCATGTTCTTGCCATAATATCTCTTCTAGTTGCTTCACTACTTTAAGATCGTGATTAGAGATCACATTAGCTTCTTCCACTGATTTTCGATCTTCCCAAAGTTTGGTGATGGCTTCCTTCTTCTGAGATAACTGTGCATCCGTCGTTGATATGAGGACTTTAAAGCCCCTTAGTCTCTTCGCTGGCTTGTTGCAACTCCTTCACTAACTTGGCTTCTTTAACTTCGGCTTCACTCAAACTAGACCGAAGTGATTGTATACGCTTAGCACCATCATCCTCCAAAGACCTAGCGTTGGTGAGCTGTGTATCAATATTAGCCAATCGTTGGGATTGAGAGTCTGAAGTCATCATACAAGCATAAGAAGAAGATGTAGCAACATAATTAGCCACATTAGTCATATACGAATCAATTCGCCTCTTCAAAGCTGAATGGTCTTCAGGGAGTTTTGCGAGTCCTTCATAAAGTGTTTGAAGTTTAGGTGCTCGAGACGATATTTTGTCAGTAGGAGTATCCCGTATAATACTCTTTATGAAATCAATAAAGCATAAAGCGGCACGACGATGAACATCAAGAACGATTTCTTCTGCATTGAAAATTGACATTTCGGAAGGGGCAATATGATGCAAGGGTGGACCCTGTTCTCTTATAGGTAAAGAAGGAATAGCTACATGATCTGTACCAACATTTTCAACCACCTCCATAGTTTGACTAGTCACTTCAGCAATCCCCAAAACATCCGAGTGTTGAATAGCTCTGCTTCTTTGTAGTGAAACGTCTGCATCTTTTCCTATCGCAGTGGCCAATGCTAAGGCAGACGGTCCATAAATAGATTCTTCACTACATGTTGGATTAGCAACAAAGACGACATCTTCCCCGAGAAATCCCTCGTTGCCTTGTGACTATTAAGAAAAAAACATGATGGTAATTCGCAGTTAAAAAAAAAAAAAAAAAAAAAAAAAGAAAGAAAAGAAAAAAAGAGAAGAAGTACCTGTATAGGTTGTGAACTGCTAGGTACCCCAGTAAAAAATCGATCAAGAAAAGTGGCAATACATTCCTGTACTGGATCAAGTCTTATCTTATCAGTGGCATGCTTCCAGTTACGATTCTCATCGCAAGCTTTCACATCCTCATCTGAATCCATTGCTAACTGACGATGGCGACGGTCATTGATTAATGGTGGAACATCTTCTGCTGTTTGGTGATGACTATTAGACGCCCCAATAACACCACAAGTATTATGAGATTTGGGGGGTGACCCTTGCACTGGCTTTGATGAGAGGTTTGACTTCAGCCCTTTAATTAAAACCTTCATGATTTTAGTTGGTTTCTTTGGTGAGGAAATCGTGCGTTTAGGTTGCTTTGAGGTAGTTTATTCCTGTGTAAATGGATCAATATATACGCTAGACCACCATTTAGCATATGCTTTGGTAACTGAGGACTTCTGGTGGCTGGAGGTTGAGGGAAACAACGCATCACAACCAGAAGAATAATGAACGGATGATTTCCAATGCTTTAAAAACTCCTTTAAGGTGCAACTACGAAAGTCATTCTTTAATTTTCCAGGAATATCTTGGTGGTACCCAAATTGTCGGCTAAATCTTTGTGGATTATACGGCTCAATGATGAGACAGTCATTTTGGTGCAATGTCAAATAACATGATCGAAGACTGATTAGGGTGTCAGAGTCAGCCTTTATCATCTCACCATTATTCACAATGAGTCGCTGTTTTGAAGATCTTTTAGCCATACGAGTTAAGTTTATTCCTTTACATAATTTGAATAAATTTTGTGCTTCAAAATCGTCAAAAAATCTTGCTCCTCCTTCGCCTGCATATAATGTCATTCTAGGCCAATAGTTGATATTAGGAGCGGTGAAATTAGTTCTAAAATATTCACTTAACCAGCCGAATACATAGTGTATAGGAAATATTACAGAGCAGCTTCCAGGAACTGGTGAGGAAATAATTTCATTTAAGCCTCTATAAATACTGGCCAAAACCGGGATGGAAAGACAAATATTGCAGCCATCTGCTAACATGCTCGCAACCTTGAAAGTCCCAGGACGAATCATGTTGCCAGGGTGTGCGGGAAAGGCAAATTTACAGAGCCAACATGCTAAAAAAACAACTAGATAAGTGGTGTCTCTCGATGCTTCATCTACACCAAGGTTGATAAATACTTCCTTCTCTCTTATGGACATCGGCCGGACAGGAGGGATCACACCAGATGGGTTTTGAGTCCTCATAGGGCGATGAACTTTATTTTTTGTTGTTCTCTTTGAAGGTTTGACATGTCTTGATGCACCTTTAAACCATAAATTAATCCAGTCAGATATCTTTACGTTCTGATCTCCTTTATACTTCTTGGAAAGTCCGTGGAAGGCCAAAAATAGGTGTTGACAACTCAAGGGGAGAGAATTTTTGTTGTTGCCAGCTCTTGAGAGTTCATCTGCGCAAGGAATAACTTCATCATAAATTGTTCCGGGGTACATAAAGTCAGAATTCAGAAATCTAGAATTCCAGAGAGAAATACAGAAACTCTCATCCCCAACATCCAAACCCAAAAGCGAAGAACACCATGCACATCAAATCGTGCCGTTCTTCATCAAATTCCATGGTGATCAACAACAAGCACAGCCAAAAACGTGTCGTTCTTCATCAAATTCCACAGTGATCAACAATAAGCACAGCCAAAGACGTGCCGTTTTTCATCAAATTCCATGGTGATCAACAACAAGCACAGCCAAAGACATGCCGTTCTTCATCAAATTCCACGGTGATTTAAGATCAAGCTCGTACAGCCCTTGAATTCAACCAACCAACAAAAAAAAGGTCAGAGGACCAGTTCTTTCTTTTGTAAAGAATATTACAGAGGATTGTACCCCATCTATCAAAATTAATAAAATTATATTATTTGCTCCATATTTTGTTTCTATTGCAGACTTACAAAATTTGTGTGTACAAGGATATATTAGATGTGTTGCGTAACCATGTGATGATCTTTTGATTGTTACTGTCCCAGTCTTTAACACGTGTTTCATAGGTATCTGATGACTTTTCTTTGGTTTGAGTAGGTGTTGTACGATCTCCAGTGACATATGACTATAACTTGCGACTTTTTAGAAAACTTCACATAGATTGACTCCAAAAGGAGTAATTGTCACCGGCACGAATAACTAATATAGGGTGAGTAACCTTGTTTTGTGCTATTTAAAAATCCCAAATGCAAAAACGGACTGCAAATTATTAGCGCAAAAAACTGGTGTTTTCAAAAAAAAAAAAAAAAAATTTATGATACTGCTAACGTGGCAGTCTGCTGATGTGCCAGAATGGCCCCTGGATGCTGACGTTGCAGTGTTGATCATGCGCCTGACATGGCTCGCGGGAGCGTGTTAAAGCTTGAGGGAAGAAAAAGTTATACGCGTTGGCGAGTGTGAGGCGGCGATGAGTTGATCTGACTCGCGTCAGTGCGTGGAGGTTCGTGGCTAATAGAAAGAAGGTGCGGAGGCTTGTGGCGGCGTGTGGGGGCACGTGCTTGCTTCTTTCCGGCTGTTTTTGGTGGTGTCGGTACGGTCTAAGTCTGAACTTTTGCCCAGTGTGCTCTGAATTGCAAAAGGACTTGCTGAAGACTAGATTCGAACACCTAATAGAATGTATTCTTGATGGACTTATTGGAAGCCACCAGCAAATTAAAAATCATAAAATAAAGAAGGTAGAGAACTTGGCTTTGATACCATGTTACAAAATAAGAGAGAGAGAGAGAGAGACTGTATATTATATTGATGTATTGATAATGAAAACAATAGGGGTTTATATAGGAAGGGTTATGTGTGGTGACCAAGTAAACCTTATATGTATATGGTAACTCTATACATGGTAACAAAAGTAGATGAAGATGGCTAACCCTAAAGTATACAATATATTCTAACAACATTGATTGATTCCATTCGAAGAGCATCATTAAGTAATTTGGATAGACCTTCTGAACATAAAAGGAATAAATATGGGGATAAATGATCGCCTTGACGCTAACCTCTAGATGAAGTGATCAAACTCCCAAATTCTCCATTCGAGGTTACAGGAGAATACAAGGGAGACACATGGTAATATAATTCAAACCCAATGAGAATCAAAGCCCAAGTGAAACATCATTTCCTCTATAAACGACCATTCAACTTTGTCATATGCTTTGGCCATGTCTAGCTTTAGAGCTAGGGAAAAATTGCCCCCATGTCTCATCTTTCAAGGAATGTGGATCAGCTCATGAGCTGATCCATAAGACATTACATAAGACAATAGGGCCAAATTCAGACATTTGGTGAGGTTTTTAGTTTTTGGAATAAGAACTATATTGGTTTGATTAAAAGATTTTAGTAGGTAACCTAAGTGAAGAAAATAGTTGAAACCATTTACAGTATCATGCTTAAAAATGCCCCAATGACCTTGGGTTAAAAAAGTGGAGAGAAGCCATCTGGGCTAGGAGATTTGGTCGGACCCATTTCCGGAATGGTCTTCTTGATTGATCTCCTCTTCACTCAATTATTTTACGCAATAGAATTTGATTCATTACCATGCTAACTTTAGGCACAATAAGATTCCAAAATAATCCTCTACATTGTTGCGATGTCCTCTTTAGATTCCTTCCAACAGCCATTGTGAACTTAAGAAATTTCATTGCAACTGTTGCAAGGATGACGTGATGCAATAGATGGTTGGTTATAAACATTTTACTAAAGCACATATATCAGTGTTTTTTTTTAGATTCACTTTACTTTAATCGAGTATTTGTAACCATTCGTTACACCACGTCATCCTTGCAACAATTGTAATGAATAATTATTCAGTTTAGAGGAACTGAATTCTCACACCATCTTATCATGGTTTCTCTATGGAAATAACTTGTATTCTTATCTTGCAAGGAATAATTTTTCAGTTTAGAAGAATCGCATTCTCAGACCATCATATAATGGTTTCTCTAATTAAGTCAAGAGATTCTCAGACTTCTGTTGTCAAAAGGTCTCCTTATCCCTCCAAGCAACTCCTAATTCGTTATCTAATTCATAGCACAAATTCTTGTCAAAATTCTTTCACTCTTTAAGCTGGTTAATTTTGAGAGTGATAGAGTGATCCAGAGAGAGAAGTAATGGATGTGAAAATTGGCGGCTTGTGAAACGATTTGGAGTGGAGAATTTAAGCCCTTAACATGAGTTCATTCCAACCAACTTGCAAGCTCATGATCAAGCAACATCAAACAACCTTAAAAAGCAACACAAAATACCAAACATACTTCAGTATATGAAATTTGAGTCATTAAAGTAAAGTTCATTCCATTAGCAATTTAGCACTATATATATATTATAAAGAATTTGTTTATTCTTTTATTCTTATAAAATTTTAAAATTTTATAACTTTTAACACTAAGAATGAACTAAGAAAACCTACTTTAATATGTATAAGTTTTACTAACTGGTTGTTGGATGACTATGTGTTGGCATATATATATATGTGTGAATGGATTGATTTGGTTTTTTAGTCCCTAGTTCATTAATTAATCCGGTCACTGCGAATTCATTGTTCATAAATTTGTAACCAAATCGTGAAGCTAACAATCGAATCTAATCTGTTCGAATCAAATTCAAGTATTGACAAATCAATTGAACACTTCAAAATGTTAATGTTAATGGAAGCAATAAAGACTTTCTCATTGGAATGAAAAAAAAATCACATAATATATATATTCACATGTTTATTCAATTTTAACAAATAAAATCGATTTTGATAAGGTTTCGATCCTTCTATAAACCTTTTTGATGATGCATTGCAATTAGACAAATTATAGGATTCCTTTTTAAGGTCCAATGGTAAAAGTGACCCAATCGAAGTACGATTTTGAGGGATTTTTTTAAAATGACAGAGAATTTTATGGTGCATTAATTTGAAGATTTGATGAGTTTTGAAAATTCATGCTCAGATGGAACAACTCTGGTGACTCCTATGTGATCCACAATAATGGAACTAACATGATCTAGTGGGAATTTTGAGGACTTCTAGGTAAAAACAACATAGGGAATGAAAATTGGTAAAACCAAAGAAAGGCAAAAACCCATAAATTGATGGAAATGTCAGACATCTTTGATTCTTATCATTGTCTCTCTTTAACCTAAAAAAAGCTGACACTTGGAAGGAAAAAAACATAAATACATAAATGAAAATAAACAACCAAAAAAAAAACAGAAAAACTTTCAAACACGCAACATTGCTGCTTTTCAGTTTGCAGGGTAACTGCCAGTAACCGTTCAGTGTCCGAAGGCCACCCCCTTCACACCATCCTCACCCTTCACAAACCTGCAAGTTGCCACCAAGCCTCTGTATCTCTCTCTCTGTGTATATATATATATATATATATGCGTGTGTATCTGTTTATATATATGCTTTAAGGAAACGCTAAAGGTCTCTTGTACACTTCTCTAAACCTTCTTTATCTCCACATTGGAGACTAATTCTATGTTTCGTTTTATTTATGGGTTTTGGGAATTTGTTTGATGCAAGTGAGCCCTAGAAATGGATTTTCATTTGAGGACTGTGAATGGACTTCCCCTTTTGCTGCTTCTAATTGTGACGAGCTTGGTCTTTGTTCATGGTGAAATTCCAACTACCCTTGATGGACCCTTCAAGCCTGTGACCGTCCCTCTCGATGACAGCTTCCGTGGGCACGCCGTCGATTTGCCGGACACCGATCCTCGGGTCCAAAGGACTGTTAAAGGGTTTGAGCCTGAACAGATTTCAGTTTCTCTCTCCTCAACTTATGATTCAGTTTGGATCACTTGGATTACAGGTATCCTTTTTTTTTGGTTTTTTTTTTTGGGGTATTCTTTTAATTTGATTGAAACTGATGAGAAAATGACCCAAAAAGTGGCAGATGAAATTGGATTTTTTGCTGGAACTTTTTGATCCGTGTATGTGTTTGTTTCTTTTCAAAAAAATAATTTTTTTAGCTTTTGAAACCAACAAAAAATGAATTGATGAGAAAGGGGTTACCTGTAATTTTAAAAATAAAATTACAGTTACCCTTTTTGGGGTGTATATATATATATATATATATATATATATTGGTATGCTTTTAATTTGATTATTTGATTGAATTTCATGAGAAAATGACCCAAAAAGTGGCAGATGAAATTGGGTTTTTGCTGGAACTTTTTGATTAATGAAATTTATGTATGTAATTGTTTGTTTTCAGAAAAATAAAATTACAGGTACCCCTTTTTTGGTATATATATATATATATTTGGGTATGCTTTTAATTTGATTATTTGATTGAAATTCATAAGAAAATGACCCAAAGAAATTGAGTTTTTGCTGGAACTTTTTATTAATGAAATCTATGATTGTGATTGTTTGTTTTCAGAAAAATAAAATTTATAGTTTTTGAAACCAACAAGACAAAATATGTGAAATCATGAAACTAGTGGAATTTATGAGTGATTGGGGGAAATCACCTCCTTCTAACCTAAGCTGGTATTTCTGATTTCAAAATTGTAAAACTGAAATGTGGAATCAATGAAAATTTGTTAGCTTGATGTTGATTTCTTAGTTTTTGCATAGTTCACAAAACAGAACAGAACATGTTGATTTATTTTAATGATTGGCATGTGAAAAAATTAAATTTAATAATATTTCACTTAGAATTTTGTTAGGATGGTGTTTGACAATGCGAAATTGGATTGCATTTGCAGGGGAATTCCAAATTGGAGACAACATAAAACCATTGAATCCTGAAACAGTTGCAAGTGTTGTCCATTATGGGGTGTCACAATTCCCATTGATTCAACAAGCCGAGGGTCAGTCTCTAATTTACAATCAACTTTATCCTTTTGAAGGCCTCCAGAACTACACTTCTGGAATTATACACCACGTCCGTCTCACAGGTATGATTATCAATATATATATACATATTTTCTTGATTATAATACATCTATTATCAGGATTAAATTTCCTTAAAAACAGGTTCAAGGTTTTTGTCTTAATTTAGTTGTGACCACTCCTATCCTTAAATCTTCAAAGGGCAATATTTACAAAAAAATGTAACAAACAAGGGCATACTAAGGTTAGAACAGGTTCAATGTCATAGTTTTCAGCGATTAGGCCTTTTAAAGACCCTATGTGAAAGATCCACTATGAACCATTCACGTAACATAGTCTTCTGAAATTCTTCACATCCCATTTAGAATGACTATTGTCTGGAAAAATCTGAATGTTTCCCTGAGTATTATGGTATAGCAAACTTGTTCACAATCAAAAGAATTCAAAGAAATGAATCGGCCATGTAGGTTCTTTGGTTTTTCCCCAACTGCGGGGACAAAGGCACCAATTTGGTGCTTCCAAACATAGCTTATAAATAAGATTTCTACTGAGTTAGGATGGGTTTTGGGGCCCTGTGAGGCTCCTGGATATGGTACCATAATAAACTCCATGAATTCTTATACTCCTTTTCTAGTCGGTATTTTCTTCTCTCTCACTTTGTCGGCTTACCTATGACCATGTTTCTTCAAAGCATTAACACAAAAAGCTGCTGCAAAACACCATAATCATTGCCTAAAACAAGAGGTTGATACAATAATAGGGTTCTTGTTTTAAATTTTTATCAGAAAGGGATCCTTTTCCTAGTTTTTTGAAAGAAGCAAGCAACCTGCGAAAGTATGAAAAAGTTGGGTTTTCATCTTACAAAATTCTACAAGTTCCTTCGGCATGTTCTTTCTTTTAGGTTAATAAATGATAAGAGATTCTTGGAATTTGATTTCAGTTTCAGAGTCCTTCATTCATGATTTCCCTTGAAGGAACAAAAACCTCCTGATTTGACACCTTAGTAATCTGATCAATTAAACACCTCTTTTTCCTCTTCACTGCATAATTTCTTAGGGAAAATTAATATGCTTGTCATTAGGATTTTTGTGCAGGTTTATTATAGTAATATTCATTTGACTTTCTTTTACTTTTTTTGAGCAGGTTTTTACATTCGGTACAAGTGGAATTGTGCATGAATTATACATTTTGTTTACTTATAACTCATTGCTTATGAACCATAAATTAAAATTTTACAAACTTCTCCTGATGTAGATCTATCTGTAGTGATACGTATTTCATATAATATTTTCTTGACATTCCTGCAACTTAATTGACTTCTTTCGAGAATAAACGATATCAAATTTGAAAATGAAAATGAATTAAATAACAGAATGAGATATGTCCTGCTTGTTTATGAATTTACATTATCAACTTCTGATTGCCTTTAGTTAATATCTCTATCACATTCTCTTGCAGGGTTGCAACCTGACACAGTATACTATTATCAATGTGGAGATCCTTCTATACCAGCAATGAGTGATATCTATTATTTCAAGACTATGCCTATTTCTTGTCCCAGGAGTTACCCAAATAGAATAGCAATTGTGGGAGACCTGGGTCTTACATACAATACAACTTCAACAATCATGCACTTGATGAGCAACCATCCTGATCTTGTTCTATTAGTTGGGGATGTATGTTATGCTAACATGTATCTCACAAATGGAACTGGATCTGATTGCTACTCTTGCTCGTTTTCACAAACTCCAATACACGAGACCTATCAGCCTCGGTGGGATTATTGGGGAAGGTAAACGTCAAACCTTTTTCTCTTTTAGAATGAATTTGTTTCTTTGCAACATTTGGTGCAGTGAAATGACAAGCTGTAAGAAATTTTTGGTGCAGTGAAATGACAAGCTGTAAGAAATTTTGGGCTTGTTTGGTTCAGTTTTCTGAGAATAGTTATCAGAGAGTTGGAAATCAAAAAACTGTACAAAAACTTGTGAGATTATCAGTTAAAGAAATGGCTGTTTTTATACAACTGACTTTAAAGTTCTCTAAATAGTTTTCTGTTTTATTAGTTCTTTACAATTGTTTTTGGGAAACAGAACCAAACAAGCCCCTTTATTTCTCAGTTAATATAACTGTGCAGGTTTTGGAGGGAAAACTGCTGTTCCAGCTTCATAAGATCATATTGGTGATTAGACCAGTTGAACCATAAAACTATATTGTAGATAACTAGATAATTTTTTGACAAAATTGGAAAAAAAATCTTAAAACAACAAGAGAGAGATCTAAGGTTTTGAAATTGATTTGCATCTGGTTTAGAGCATGCATAAATAATTTGAAAGATTGACTGCAAAAGACTTTTGAGTTATTAAGATGGGTAACTTCTTGAATTATTATATAAGGAGAATTTTGAGGGATATGTGCCAATTCATGTCTTAATAATCAGTTTCTTTAAAACTATATTTTCAAGTTATTGATGCCTTGAAATTGACAAGGTCCTTAACAGTTGGTGATCTTGGTATTGACTTGTGTTGAGTTGTGGCCTGAAATTTGCTTTCGGCCAGAATCGCGTTTTGACCTGGTACTCTTGACCCCAGTCGGGGACTTTATGTGGATTTTGACCCCCTTTTTTGTCTTACGAGTCTTGGACTTGGATTCTAGTCTCTATCGTAACCCGATATATAAGGGTGCTAGGTTTATTTTATTTATTTATTATTATTATTATTTTGTACCTTGTCAAGAAACACACTCACACCCCCACTTGCTCTTATGGGGATTTGGCCCTCGGCCTTCTACTTTGAAAGGTGAGGAAGTATCACTAGGCTACAACATTTGTTTGCTAGGGTTTATTTTGTTCTAGAGAACACTAATCGAGATATAGAGTCTGAGAAAGACCAAAGGGGTACCGGGGTTAGGACTTGAGAGACTTGTAATCTCCTTTCTTCTTTGCATAGTGAGAGCTTTTCACGGATCTTCACCGTGGACGTAAGCTATAAGCCGAACCACGTTATTCTTTGCATTTTATGGGTGTGGATTTTTTTGTTTTCTATTAATTTCTTGATTATGTTTGTGCTTTTGCCATGGGTGTCATAATGTGTCTGACCAAACTGAGCATTACTTTTTATGACAGCTTCTATTTCAGTTATCTCATGCGTATACCATTGGATACAAATTTCCAGGTTCATGCAGCCTCTGGTGTCCAATGTTCCAATAATGGTGGTGGAAGGGAACCACGAAATAGAATTGCAGGCTGGGAATCTGACGTTTGCAGCTTACGGTTCTAGGTTTGCATTTCCATCTGAAGAAAGTCTATCTTCATCAACATTCTATTATTCTTTCAATGCAGGAGGCATTCATTTCATAATGCTTGGTGGCTACATTGCTTATAACAAATCAGGTAAAGTCACATAATTATGCTTTCTTCCATCTATCAACCTTATATATATGTATGTGTATGCAATTTACCCATTTGGATTGTAGGTCATCGCGTATTTGTCTTGCTATTTTTAATCAAGGAAAGAACACTTTCACAAATTTTGTCGATGCATACTTTAAATGTAATGAGATATTTATTTTTTTATTTTTTCAGCGGATCAATACAAATGGTTGGAGAGAGATCTGGCTAACGTTGACAGGAAAGTGACTCCATGGTTGGTAGCTACTTGGCATCCACCTTGGTATAGCAGCTACAAGGCACATTACAGAGAAGCTGAGTGCATGAGGGTAGCTATGGAGGAACTACTCTACAAATACGGTGTCGACATAGTCTTTAATGGACACGTAAGTGTTCATTGTTTTGGGGTTTTGTTATTAGCTTTTTCCTAAACATGCATTTTGTTTTTGATATATTAACCAATAAGTGAATAGCATGCCAGGAAAATGACTAGAAATTTGTGGATAATACTAAACTAATCTATTAACTAATAAGCCCTTTCTTAATTTACATCATAAATTAGAAAAGAAATATCATAAAGACCTCAAAATTGACACTAACTAGTTTAGTAACTGCGAATATCCAATTTGACTCCTAAAACCCTATACCCTTTTTGGAAAGGAAGAAAAAAGGAGCAGTAGTAACCTAAAATGAAAATCATGAAAATAAATTAAAAATCATATAATAGTTTTGAATTACTGACAGTTTTGGTCTGCATCTCTCCCACTTGGAAAATCTATTTAAGTTTCTTTCTTGTTTCGTGGTGGAATCTTCTTCCTGATGCAATAATAGTTAACATTGTTCTTTTCAAGTAATTTCAGATATACATATATATATATATATATATATGTATTGTTTTGCTTCAGTCCCAACTGATTTACAAAACTAAGTAAAGGAGGACTATATATCTATATATATATTGTTTTGCTTCAGTCCCAACTGATTTACAAAACTAAGTAAAGGAGGACTATATATCAGATGGGATTTTTTCTCATTGAATATCCATCGTTACCTTTTTCTTTGTTTGGATCATCAATCCAGAAATTAGCATCTTTTTAACTTATAATTTTCAACTACTGTATAAATATGATGAACTTTTCATCTATTTTTCGCTCTACCTATGCAAGTTCTTGATACAAATCCTTTTTTTGCTACCTTTCTGACAAAGTACATGCATAGAGCAGTTGATAGTATGGTTTTCTTTGGCAAAAACCAACAGGTTCACGCGTATGAGAGGTCAAACAGAGTATATAACTACACCTTGGATCCCTGTGGTCCGGTTTATATCACAGTTGGCGATGGTGGTAACCGAGAGAAGATGGCAATTCCACACGCTGATGAACCTGGTAACTGTCCCGAACCATCTACGACACCGGATGAATTTATGGGTGGCTTTTGTGCATACAATTTTACATCAGGGCCAGCAGCTGGTAAATTCTGTTGGGACAAGCAGCCCGATTATAGTGCATACAGGGAAAGTAGCTTTGGCCATGGAATTCTTGAGGTACCCCCTCTCCCCCTCTCATGCAAGCAAAAACAACATTTTAGCGGTTGGATCATCGGATGATTCTCAGTCAATTAGTTTTTAGTTATGGATGCTTTCATGAGATTACTGTCTTATTTATTTTTTAAACCCATTTTGTTCCTATTGGGATATGAAGTCTGCATTTTCCACTCTAGAGGTAGTTGGAAAATTGGAAATACCATTGGATTATTTTTATCATTTTTACTTGATAATGATACACTAAGAAGCACGGACACTTTTTGTGGGAGTGTCATGACGGTGTCGGAACTTAGACACACGTGAGACATGACTCGGACACGTTACACAGCTAGAAATGTATTGATATATTTTTTTTTCCCTTGGTTGGACACAGCTGGAACACAACATAGACACGGTGAAGACACGACACAAACACGTTTGAGACACCTTTAGGATACGGCGGGTAGTTTTGTAATTAGTGTTATTATTTTTTAGAAGAATGTTATCCGGATCCAATTTTACAATATATTATGGGTTAATTAGAAAATTAATTTGAATTTTTAGAAAATAAAAAATAATAAACATCTAACTCAAGTTCCAACTTTCAAACTAGTAATTTCACTCATGACAATGTGAAGATAATGAACCAAAAATATTCTATACATATAATAATAATGATATATTATATTATTATTTTTTGACATATCCCCTACCGTATTCATGTCTTAAATTTTGAGACAAAACATATCCGTATCGTATTGTATCCGTGTTCCTTACTTTCTAGATGATGCACCTTCTCTAGTAGCTCATAAATTTGTCTGTTGGACTTATTGTTTGCATTTAGCACTACAAACTAATGAGCCATATGTGATGCGCAGGTGAAAAATGAGACACATGCTCTGTGGTCATGGCACCGGAATCAGGACATGTACAACAAGGTTGGAGATCAGATTTACATTGTAAGGCAGCCTGACAAGTGCCCAGTTGAAGCAAAGGTAATTAACACTAGTAGTTTCTTGTGACCACTATCAGAATTTTTTTTCCGATAATTGCCTGATACATGTGAGACGAAGGACTACATGTGTCCGGTGGTAAATTATTGAATATTATAAGAGGCCCAACATTACCATCGTTCGTCAAAAAAAAAAGAAGAAAACTATTAGTCATATTTTTTTTTTCATTTATAATAAATATGCTCTCATACCAACTTTTGTTCTCATGGAGACTTGAATTCTCGACCTTCTATTTTAGAAAGCGAGAAAGTACCTGCCACTAGGTCACAAGACCGTTGGTAAAATACAAGTAGTCATGCTTGAACCTCAATTTGCACTTGAAAAGCATTGCCAACCCTATAGGGTGAATCAATTAGTCTTGGTGCCTGCACCTCAAGAAGTTAGAGCCAATCATTTGGTCAGATACATTGTCATAAAAAAAATAAATAAATAAATAAAAGAATTACATTTGGTATTTATTTTCTCCCCTATAATTCACTCAAGTGATTGTGTAGTTATGCCTTGGTTTCCTTCTCTTGTTAAGGTTTTCACAAAACTGGAAGCTTAGAACTAAGCATGGGTGCTATTTAGAAGATTGTAAAGCAGCAGATTTTACAAGTGCTGTTTAACATTGAGCTGTTTGTAGAATTAATATATATATATATATATATATATATATATATATATATATATATATATATCCAATAATAATTTCAATAAATAGATTGTTGAATAAAACTTGCATATTTCCGACACAATTGTTTATGTGCCCATTGGTGATTGGTCCCGAGACCATGTAATAACTTCCTCAAATTCATCATTCAAACATAGCAATAAATAAATATCTATTTTGCCTAAAAAAACAAATCAAATATCACCTCTATATTAATAATAAAACTAACAACCTGCTTCTCATATTGAAATTGCTCGTGCCTTTAACCATAATGTTTACAATAAATACACTCGCACACCCACTTTTGAAATTGCCTCTGTATTAATAATAAAACTAACAACCAACAACCTGCTTCTCAGATTGAAATTGCTCATGCCTTTAACCATGATGTTTACAATAAATACACTCGCACACTCACTTTTGTTCTTAATGGAAACTTGAACCCTCGACCTTTTACTTTCGAAAGCGAAAAAGTACCTACCACTAGGTCACAAGACTATTGGTAAAATACATGTTTGAACCTCAATTTGCACTTGAAAAGCATTACCAACTCTATAGGGTGGATCAATTAGTCTTGGTGCCTGCACCTCAAGAAGATAGAGCCAATCATTTGGTCAGATACATTGTTATAAAATAATAATAATAATAAAACAAAAAAGGAAAAAAAAAAAAAAAAAAAGAAAGAAAAGAATTACATTTGGTATTTATTTTCTCCCCTATAATTCAGTCACTTGAGTGATTGTGTAGTTATGCCTTGGTTTCCTTCTCTTGTTAAGGTTTTCACAAAACTGGAAGCTTAGAACTAAAGCATGGGTGCTATTTAGAAGAATGTAAAGCAGCAGATGGGGCATCAAAGTGAGCATTTGCTTTTGGTTATTGCCTTCTTTTTACAAAGTGCTGTTTAACATTGAGCTGTTTGTAGAATTAATATATATATATATATATATATATCCAATAATATTTTCAATAAATAGATTGTTGAATAAAGCTTGCACATTTCCGACACAATTGTTTACGTGCCCATTGGTGATTGGTGCTGAGAACATGTAATAACTTCCCCAAATTCATCATTCAAACATAACTATAAATAAATATCTATTTTGCCTTAAAAAACAAAGCAAATATCACCTCTGTATTAACCAATAAAACTACCAACCTGTTCCTCAGATTCAAATTGCTCACGCCCTTGACCTTGATGTTTATGGACAAAATAAACAATTGAATTGGACATTGGATTTAATTTGTTGAAAGCCTAAAAATTTTTAATGTTAAATGAGTTTAAGATTAGCTCAAATCGAGCACGTCTAGCTAAATGAAGTTCGCTGAACCAGCCAGTTTAAAATCTGCTAACAACTCTTTTAACACACCAGAAGAGAACAAAAGCAAAAAATCAAATGGTATTCTAGGAAGCTAACAAAAGAAGACTCCATCCAATTTCTAACAAAACTGTACTAACCTAGTCATGAGACGATGCAATTTCTTTTCGAAGACCTACATGGGTTAGCATATGAAGGATAGAACAAGAAAGAGAGAGACGGGAACAAAGATTGCTGTAACTAAACGCCCAGGAGAAGCTTTAGAAGAATTGTTTCCGTCTGGTATTACGGGTCCAAAGCCTGGTGTCAATCCTCCAGTGCCATAGAGTGGTGTCGTGGCGCCTCCAGGTGTTGGTGGCGCATTCACTGTCGGTGTTGTGGTGGGAGTGGTGGGTGACCCTCCAGCCGTGCTGAAAATTAGAACCATTAAGCATTGTCAGAAAAAAACAGCAACACTTTTTCAAATATCTTAAAACAAACATTATATGGTTTAGGATTAAATTATACCGAACTTAAAGATTAGACCTGTTTGGAAGTGATTTTCATTGAAAACGCGATGTTGTATTCTTTCAATTCGGGAAGCCAGTATAACAAATTTGGATATTAAATGGATTTGCCACTCCTTCCCTAGTAGAGGTCATATAGTGTGGGAACTAGATAGTTAGTGAAGCACGGATACGGGACACCGGTATGACACGACACGAAGATACGAGAAATTTTAAAAAAATAAAACACAGAAACGACAAAAATACGGTAATAAAATAATAATATATATATTTTTATTATATATAAATTTTTATTTTTATTTAATTTTTTATTTATATTTAAATTAGGTTAACCAAATAATTCCTACTACTCTTAAAAAAATATATATAAATCATAAGTTCAAATTTTATTAAAATATAAATTTATATCCACGCTATCATTATAAGTTATAACCAAACATAACATGTATGATTTTTAATTTATTTCTTTTTTTAACACACCTTTTAAGATGATAAGGCAAGAAATCACAATTCTATCCCATTTCTGATTTCACTTTCCACGCGTGGTTCACGTCTCTTCAGTCTTCATCATCTACTCCGCCTCTTCTCCGGCATTCAATCAAGCATTCAATCAAGCCAAAAGATCTGATGAAGCTTTGGATAGAAAATAAGAGGTTGTTCCTCTTGTTCGCCGGTAAAGCCAACACCCACAGAAGATCTTACTCTTAATCTTTTTTAGATTTCTAGATCACTAGCATATATATACACACACATTATTACACACATTCATTCTTCTTTGTCTTTTCAAAAAAAAAAAAAAAAACCGAACAAGCATGTCTCCGCCGTATCCTCAGCGTGTCGCCTACGTGTTTGGCGTATCCTTTGCCGTGTCCGACCTTGAAAAAAATAATAAAAAATTGGACACGTGCCGTGCCAGTGTCAGACACGTGTCCGACACTGGCACGGCACCCCTTATGGGCGTGTCCATGCTTCATAGGTTATACCACGTGTTCGACACTGGCACGGCACCCCTTATGGGCGTGTCCGTGCTTCATAGGTTATACCCCATAGTAGTGTGAACTTATCTTTCCTCCAACTACTCACCGGACAATTTGCTCTAGTGAGGAATTTAGGTCATGGCAGGTCATAGGTTGCTCTAATAGGCGGTTAGCTGACCACAATTGTCATTGGCCCAATGTTATTTATTAACACTTGTGGAGCTTGTGGTTGCTGCTTCAATCAACTCCCACCAAAGAAAAGGAAAAAGTTGTGCCTATTATTTCCAAAATATTGGTGTGTCTCTAAACTGCCCTCCTAACCTGTAATCGGGGGTAACTTGAACTAAGCAATTACGTATGGATCGGAAGAGAACGGGCTCGCAGGTAAGCAGTTTCATGTCTTAAAATGAATGTAAGTAGAGCTATCAAGCTTTGACCTGCCTTAAAACTGGAAACAGACACCACTTCTTGTGTAAAATCTAAACATTTGAACGACTCCAACCGGAACCAACCAAGTCTAGATTGGAACTTATTAACAACCATCTATTTCAAAAACTGAAGCTGGGTGTAACTTTAATATTTAAATCTTTCAACATGCCCCCTCACGTGTGGCCTTCGTATTGTCAAGTGTGAGGTTTGAACACGTGTGCCTGGGTAATTACAAATTTACTTTTCAACTAAAACCAACACAATCTCTTGGTATCCTAATATTGACAGAGTTCTTGGATATTATGAGGAAAAAGAAAGAATACGAGAGGATAGTATTTACAACTTCTTGTGTTTGGATAAAATAAGAATGCGAAAATAATATATTGGTAAACTTCATTGTATTTGGAAGAGATAAAGGAGAGAAAATAAAAAAAGAAAAGAAAAGATTATTTTATGTTATAAGCATATACAAATACGAGATACGAGACTCAAAATTGGGACAAGCTCCTCTAGCCCAACCTTATAAGAGTGCTAGGGCAAGTATCATTGATACTTGTTGTGATTGGTAGAAAAATTGTGAACAGTAGTAATCGTGTTCAACCAATCAATGTGATTTTCATTTTATTTCAGAGTTGTGATTGATTGAAAAACAATTGCACCAGTTCGCAGACGCTCGGATTGGTTTTTCAACCGATCACAATAACAAGTGTCATCGATGGCAAGCGGACCGCACCTCTGCATGGTAGCACTGCCTCTAATACCACTATTACTAGGCTAGTTTCACAAGGACCACAACCAAAATACTAATCAATTCTGTGTACTGCAACCAACTAAGAAATCCAAGATCACATGTAGTTGAGTTCAGAACACATCTATGCGCACTTGTTAAAATCAAACTTCAAAAATAACTTCTAAAATCAAAACAGTCTTCTGATTTTGGAATGTCAAGAAATAAAAATTGTAAGGATTCCCGATTCATGTATCAGAAGTTCAGAACTCTTTAAAAATGTAATTGAAATTGTCAAATGACAAATAAATCCCTCAATAATATGATACCACAAAAGTTATCCTGTCCCAAAAAAAGATGTCATGTTTCCCTTTTTGGTTTGTCCCAAAATAGTTATCCACTTTCCTTTTTCAAATAATATATTTTATATCTTTTCATATATGTCTTTGGAGTTTAAAATTTCAAACTTGAATATAATGACAAATTAGTAACTTTCCAAGGAGACAAGACATGTCCCACATGTTCCCTTAAAAATTCCTACTCCCCAAAAGCAACATCTAATTTGGGACAGAGGGAGTATTATTTTTTCACATATCAAAATAGAAGTTTCAGGGTCCAAGTCACGTGGAGAAAGTAGGTGTGTGAGTTTATCACCAAGATAAAATAATAATAATAATAATAATAATAAATAAATATGGCTAGTGTTTTTTTTTTTAGTATAAAAAAGGCAATGTTTAATTCTAAGGTGGTGTCTAATGAAACATAGGGTCTCTGAATTGATTTCTCTTCTCCTAAGTGCAAACCTCTCTGAATTGATTTCTCTTCTCCTAAGTGCAAACCTCTCTGAATTGATTTCTCTTCTCCTAAATGCAAACATGTAGGAGTGTCTTGCACGAATTCCATAAATTAGTTAAAGCAGACACTGTGATTTATCAAAACTAGGCAGTGTTTGTTCGTTATACTGGTTCAAATTTTTTTTTTTTTGCTGGCACCGGAACTCCCTGGTAGGGCCCTTAGGATCCATATCAGACTGCAAATTGGGATGCCGCCGACGCTCCGCACTCGGTAACAATTTCAGTTGAAGATATAAAAGGATTTGATGCAAAAGATTTGCCTTGTTAGACGTGTCCTTTCACGTCAATTTACTCACATAGTCCACTGCCCAATGTCATTGCTGTCAAGTTGCTAATACGTACTACTTTCAGCCCAACATCATAACTCATAAGCCTTGGGATTATGTCCTCTACAGAAATCTACTCTGTATCAAACGGTCAAAATTTAAAGAACCAAAGACAGATTTGAAACTGATGAGTACTGGCATTACTTGAAAAGCGAACGGTCTAGATCCAATATGCCGATCAGACAACTCAATCCCTCCCACGCATGAAGACACGTGTAAAAAATCCACAATAGCAACAATACACGAGAAAGCAAACGCTTTCACACATAACGCCTCACGAGAAGCGCTCTCTCCCAGTATATCTAATACATATACATATATATAGATATACTAGTTGGAAGGATATATATATATATATATATATATGTATAGCCATATAGGGCATGTTCGGCAATGTTACTGTTTTGCAATTTTTCATTCCATATGAAACAAATATTTGTTGTGCTTCAATTTATTCCGAAGCATACACATGTTTTGCAGAAAATAAAGTCTACTATTTGTAATAAAAAAATTTTATTTACATTGCATTGGATTTGTTTTATTTTAAATATTGCTACAGTTGTAAACTAGTATAGCTATATTAGCAAAAAGAGTGACCATCTTTTTCTTGTTTTTTTAATTTGGGCTTTTCTTTCTTTTACTTTTTTATTTATTTTAAAGGATAAGTTATTGTGCAAAATCAAAACAAACAACAGATAAAATAAAAAAAATGGTTGCAAACATGCCCTAAACTTTAAAAACACCCATAAAAGTATAAAAAAAATTAAAAAAACACTTAAGTATGGTTAAATAAATAGATGAAATTGAAGACAATAAAAAGAAGGGCGCATACCTTAGAGATGATGGATAATCACAAGATCCATAACCTAAAAAATAAAAACAAAAAAACATGTAAGAGAGTAAATAATATATGTATGCACATATATATATATATATATATATTTGTAGAGAGAGAAAGTGTAGAGAGAGAAACACTAAACTGGGATCAGTTCTAGCAACGGTGGCAGTGCCAGAGAAGTCACAAGCCCCAGGGGCTTGGGCCTTGCGCTGGTAGAAACTGTTGAAGGCATAGGAAGCGTGTGCTTGCACCGTGTTTGGCAGGAAACACAACCCGGACGACTGAATGGGTGTACAGTCCGCCCCTGCCCCACAGGCGTAGTCCATAGCAGTCTGCAATGCCACGTCGCTGGCCTCACTCCTCGACACGCACCACGTCGCACTCTCCAACGTCTCACCGCAGGTGATTATAGATAAACCCACCACCACTATCGCCACCTTCGCCACCACCTTGGACAGTAGTACCGATGACGATGATGCCATGGCCTAACGAATGTTGTTATATGGTGTGGTTGGTACCTTGCAACTTACAACTTGGTTGGTAAAGCTAGAGAGAGGGTAGAGAGAGAAAGTTGTCTAGGTTCTAGAGAGAGAATCAAGGTGGGGAGTTCTTGTTTTTTCTTTTCTTCTTTGCTTTTTCTTTTCTGTTCTTTTTTATGGATATTTGTATTCTGTTTTGAATAAATGTTTTAGTTCAGTTTGTTACTTTATTTATAGTGGCAACCCCAAGGTTCGTTCGGCCAGAATTGGGACGGTTCAGAATGTGTATGAAAGTACAGTTTTGCCCTCGTAATTTTAGATTAATTCAAAGAAATAATGTGGTTTTGAACGGATATACTATTTGCATTGAGAGATAATGAATAAGGGGTATTTTTGTAATTGAATCAACAATATTCTTATATGGTAATACATACAAATCGGGGTTCATGTATCGTTACTTTTATTAAAGATTTCTTTAATTAATTAATAAGAGAAATTGACAAAAAAAAAAAAAAAATCCTAAAAAAAGAGAAAAGTAACTGCCAAAACCAATTAATACCATTAATATAATATTAGGGTAGGAAATTTAAAAAGAAAAATTATATTTAAGTAAAGTTAGGAATTTTAAATAACAAATTTGTTTATTTTAAAATTTTATTTTTTGTTTTGGTTGGATTAAATAAAATAATTAATTACCAAAAAATAATTACATTGGGAACCATATATTTAAGTCACATAAAGCGAAAGCGAAAGTGGGAGTGAGAGTGAATTCAAGAGATAGAGTGAGAAAGCGACAAAAATAAGCGAAAACAAAAGTGGGAGTGAAAGCGAATTCAAGAAATAGAGTGAGAAAGCGACAAAAATAAGTGAAAAATAATGGAAATACGAGTGAAAGTGCATTCGAATCTCACACTTCGCGCACTCGGAGTGTAAGACCAAAACCTATTAAAAGGATCGTATGACTTAGTGTATACCAATTTATTATTTAGGACTCTCAAGTATAATTTTTTCAATAATTTATTATGTGAGCATCCAAAAAAATGAGTGAATAATAATAATAATAACAACAATAGGAAGTAAATGCGGTGGGATTTGGTGTTTTTATTTTATTTTAAAATTGAGTGAGATAGACAAGTAATCTGTATTGTACTATACATGGTGCATGTTCGTATTTATTTATTTTACTAAGATAATATTAAAAAATAAGAATTTAAATTATGCATGTGTATATGATTTTAATTGAAAAATGCCTTTATTTTTAAAGGAGATGATATTTAAAATGGGAATTTAAATTATGAAGATCGGAAGATATGTTCGTGCATGGTGAAAATCGATTAATTAAGTTTTTTTTAATATTAATTAAAAAATGCCGATTCCGGTGCAGTCTAATACAACATCAAAATTAATGTCAAATAGATTATATAGAATAAATGATACCCATCTAAGATGTTTAATGCTTAGACTAATAAATATAACTCATAAAATACATTAGAGGTAAGTTTGGCAAATGTAAATTAATGTCAATTTCTGTTTCACGAAAGTCATTAGTGGTAAGTTTGGTAAATGTAAATTTTTGGGAAAACTACACTTGGCCTTGGACGTCAATAATTTGTCAAATCACGTAAATCTCATGAAATCTTAATGTACAACCACCCATATTTAAGAAAAATACCATTAATCAATGTTTGTTACGAGATTACATTACGATTCTATTGTAATAAAAGGGCTAGTCCAATATATAAAGATTATTTTTTATTTCGAATTGATAACTTTCAGGTCATAACAAAACAACTAAACGAGAAGACCCACCCACAACATTCTATTCTCATAGACAAGGAAAATAATACTACTATAGAAAAAGTTGGTTTGAATGAGTCTTTCATAAAATCTAACATATGAAAACAATGTTTTAAAAAAAAAAAAAAAAAAAAAAATACTCGATTTCAAAGGAATGCTCCTTTTTCTATTCTATAAAAATTAATTTTATTTTAGTGGTTCTTGGAATTGTTTTATATAACAAAATCAAACAAGATTTTTTTCTCATTAATGTTATGGTAGCTAAAATTAATCTATTAGGAAATATGGTTTTAGAAATGAAGTAGAACTAAAATTTATTCCTATTTTACTTGATTCCATATGTAAAATTGGAGTGAAAATTCATAAGACATAATAAATGACATGGATTTCAGAAGTTCACAATGCACATTTATATTATGAGTTAATTAAAAAAATAATATAAAATATTAGAAAACCAAAACTACAAACATCTAACTTGAAGCTCCAATTAGTAAGTTTATATATAATAATATGGATAAAATGAGTAAAATTTCATTTGTATATATATGATAATATAATATATCATTATTCTTTCACGTATTTTTATTGTAAATTTATCGCATTTTGTATTGTGTTGTACTTATATTTTGTGTCCGCACTAACTTAGCCGCCTCACACTCGGTCATTGCTAGTTATTAGAATTGATCACCAAACAATTTTTCATGATGGTCACCTTCAATTGCAACTCATCAACTACATTCTTATGTTTTTATTTTTTATTTTTTCTTATTTTATTATTTTTATCATTGAACACATCGATACCACCCTTCCATCTTATTATTATTGAAGCATTTGTATTTTTCTCAATGAATTGACATTGATATAATTTTTTTTTTCTATTTTTAAATTTATGTGCCAAGTTGAAAAGTATATTCCTCGTGGACGTTAAAGAATAATAGGGTAACTATTTATACTTTTCATAACCACCTATATTTGTCATAAAATTTTCTTACAAAAAATAAATAAAAAATTTAATTTCTAGGAAAAGCTTTTGTATAGTAAATTTCATGTTATTCAAATAAAAAAATAATTATTTTAAATTTGTTTTTAAAGTATGAAAAACATTCATACTAATTAAATACACAATAAAATATTTATTTTCTTTTCTTCACTTCACTTTCTTTTTCTTTCACTTTTCACTACTAATATTCATTTAACCAAAATTGTGCCTAGTAGAAACTTGAATGATTCCATCCTAAATGTTCCACAATAAACCGCAACCCTGGGTAGGAAATCTCTTCCAAAATGCAGATCTTAATCGTGTAGTCCGGATTCAACCTTCAAATTGGTTGAGAATACACTTCTCGAATGTTGATTGAAAAAAAAAAGAAACAAAAAAAAAAATGTAAGAGTATCATACCGAATATATAAAATCTCTCCCGAAACTATGCAGTGTAGTCCAAATAAATAGAGAAAGAAAACTTATTATCCAAAAATGAGAAGAACATAACTTGTACAAATAGAGGATAACTGATACGAGAAAGAGAAAACATAAGGAGGAGGAAACAAAAAGTTACAAGTAAAAAGATAAGAGATTAATAAAAAATATTGCTAGAAAATTATTTTTTTTTAAAAAAAAATTCAATTTATGAATATATATTTTTTTGACTATTGGTTCCATTTTGGAAAAGATATATCATTATTACCTTGATAAAAAATTAAAAAAATTATTAAATTAAAAAATTTGGCGAGCTTCTACAAATTACAAAATAGGATTATCAAAAACAAAATAGAAAAGTAATTTTAGTAACTCAGAGTAGTTATAGCTTGTCGTTAACAAGTGACAATTAAAAATCTTATCATATATGATATCACTGTTATTATTCATATAATTTTCTCATTTTTCTCTCTTAAATTCATACACGAGTGTATGCAACCGAAGTAACTATACATTGAGGTAAAAATTGCAAAAAATAAGGATTACTATAATAATGAACTAAATTTTTTTTTTTTTTCAAGAAGACACATGTTAAATTTATTCCAAACTCTATTTTTAGGTCAATAAATGAATGTTTATTTTATTATTATTATTTTCTTTTTAGATGTCAGTTATGTTTATTTACAAAATAACTATTTTTGAGGAGCCATAAATAAGAAATTTGAAGATTTTTTGAGGTGACATGGCCCAAGCCCCGCCCTCTAGCTCCGCCCAGTCCCAAGCCCAACAAAATTGGAAAATGGGAAACTCAATGAAAAATGGGATTTGATTAGTCGGGTCGAGTTCGAGTTGGCTAGCGCCAATTTACACTTCAACAACTATGAGAGCCGGGCGAGGTGGGTTGAGACGAGAAATTATTACATGGTCCCAATCAATTACAAGATAACATGCAAGCAAAAATCTGTATAAAGTTGACACATTTACTTGTGTGTCGAATTGTAATTGTCCGAGATCATGTAGTCTCTCGACCTATGCAAAAATATCTCGAGTTGGGATCCTTTTAAGTCTATAAATGCCAAGCAGAATGCGAGTGTCTCACTCCAAGGGAGAAATTATTATATGGTCCAGGATTATGTGATCTCGGTCAATCACAATCCATGTTAAAAACAGAATAAAGCTAACATATTTGCTTGCATGACAGATTGCGACTGGAACCATGAGTGGTGCACTTGTAAATGGTTAATGAAGATGGGAAACTATTGGTCCTCAATAGAGGATGACATCAGGCAACTAGTAAAGAAATATATGCAATTTCAATCACATGGGAGTGTCTAGGTTTACATGATCACGGCCAATCACAAGACAACACGCTAGCAAAAAATTGAATAAAATTGACACATTTGCTTGATTGATTAGCCGGGACTATGTAATAATTTCTTGTTTCATGAGGGTCATGCAGGTTTGGCGCCCGAAGAGTTTTATTTCTGATAACAAAGTGGCATCCACAAACCTAAATTAGGATTGTAAGCATAGTGGTGCACTAGGACAAGAAAGTTGGAGCAGAACAGCTCTCCATAGCACTATGGGCATATCAAATCACAACCAGCTCACCAAAAGGTGAAATTTTTTAATGGTTTAGGACTACATGGTGCCGACCAATCACAACTCCACACGCAAGCAAATGTATCAGCTTTATTCAGTTTTTAACTTGTATGTTGTGTTGTGATTGGCCAGGACCATGTAATAATTTCTCAACAAAAAGGATCTACACCCTCCTTGATTTATGGTATAGATATAGCCCCAACATTAACAAGGAGGACACACACAAGTGGAATAATGAAGTGAGCTTCAAAGCTAAGAGTTTGCTTGACAAGAGAAAAGCAAAGGAAGAAGGGAAGACAAAGCAATACTTGGTCAGATTCTCTTGAGCCTAGGGCTATGACATTTTAGTAGAGAGAAGTGCTCAAAGCAGAATTGAAGGGGATTTTCTAAGTTCGATCCAAATTGGGAGGACAAACATAATACCAGAGGCATCTATTTGGGGTGGTAGAAGTTGAAAACCCCATAAGGGTAAGATCTTCATTCAATCAATGGGACATGCTAAAAGGCCTTTATGCTTTATGCAAGAGAACAGAAAACATAAAAAGAAACAAGAACGTTTCAAATTTTGCATCTTATAAAAGAATGACGACGGAAAACAGGATTAATGATTAAAAAATAAAACTGGCATTCTAAGCTCGAAGAAACTGGACTAAGTTGAGTAATCAAGTAATACTAGCTTAAAGAAACTGAATGCTGCTCACAAGCATTAAGTAGAAGGATTACTCTATTGAGAAAAACGCTCCAAGTATCATAAACAAACTGAGCAGGGTAATATGTTACACTTAAACATAAACAAACTGAGCATCTCAACATTGAGGACCAGAACTATAGAGCATCATAGAGAGAACAAGGCTGATACAACAGAGATCTCAGGAGCATCAATGTAAAAAACAAAGTACCATGAGCAAATGGCCGGAGCACTAGTACAGATGCCAAGAGTATGGTGAAAACTTTGGAAGGACAAATAGCATCCCTTAGAACCTGCAGAATTTCAAGAGATAGGGTTAGCCACTTAGCCATGAAGCAAAGCATGACCTGCACCAAGAAGCGCCATTCCAAGGCAAAAAATAGGTATAACAAAAACAAAATAAAATTGGTCAAGAAAACAGTAAAGCAGTTTGAAAGCAATATATTGATAAATGAGCTTAAAAACATCATACGGTCTACAGGAGACCAAATGTAGATAAAGGGATCTGCACTGAATGGAAACAGTAAAATAAAGGCAACAGTAAAATGCCATATAGGTGCAATGTGACAAAATGAGTTAAAATCAGAACTAGAATGTGCCTATAAGATAATGGGGTTACTTGGCCATCAAAATACCTATGAGCAGGAATCAAAGCATTTCGACATGGCAACATCTAATTGGCCAATGCCACATTATACGATCAAATCATTATAATGAGAGCTGTAATGAGCTCTCTGTGGTACTATAAACAGGATAAATCTGCTCAAAAAGGAGGGGGCGGGGAACGAAACAAACCAAAAAAATATAAAAAAGAAAAACTTGCCAAAATTCATAAGAGACTCAGTTGAGAGAATCAAGTAATTTGATTGAGACTAACGTAAGAGAGAACGAATACAAAGCTTGAATTTTGAGCTCCAACGTCAGAGCAACTTGAAGAGTACTCCTCACCAAGTTCTGGTGAGACTTTCAACTAGATCTGTTTTATTCTTGAGACATTTAAATGATCTATCAAGATTAATTCAAGATTATTACTGTACCTCATTAACAAAGATCCTAGAAAACCCGGTATAATAAATTAAGAAAGCTAGAAGTGTAATTTACAGATCACTGAGTACTTACAATGTGTGAAGAATCACTGAATAATTTCTTAGTAAATCTTCCCAAGACGTGCATTTGAGATTTTTTTGTTTAAAGACTCCAAATAGACATTGAAGTGTCCTGTTCACTTACGCTGGTGGCCGGGCACGGTTGTAAGCATTGCGCTCTAAGCATTCCATCTGGTGTGTTTTGGTTCCCAGTGGAAACTGTGGCATCTTAGCAGCTTGTTACTTCTGGAACTGAGCAGATCATTGTAGTACATCAAAACAATGAGTATATTGGAACAAAAACCAAACTTGTAACTCAACCTGAAGTTTTGAGCCTCCAGATTGCACCTAGTTTATTACCTAGCAGCTTCCACCAGCTGAATCACTGGATAAAAATGGTGCTGATGAAGATCAGTTTGCCACTTCTATTTGCCAGCTCAGGTTATACTGATGCCATTGCACAATAAAGATTTATAATTGCCCTGCCCTTCATCCAGATTTATATTTGCGATCATTTGGAAGTGATAACATTGCTTCATGAAGTGAGAAGGGAGTGAGCTTGCTAATTTATAAGCACTGGTTTCACTAAGTAGTTGCAGAGACAATTCTGCAAATGATCGCGACAAAACCCCATAATTTTTTCTCAAATTGTACATCTTACAGCCCATTGCACATAAAAAAAAATGGTATAAAATATTTCACAGTTGTTGTACTCTCTCTCTCTTCCTCTCCCCCTGTGAGGATTGCTTTAATCCCCGAAGGGCCCAAGCCCTATGAGAAACATATTAAAGAATGCAAAGTAAAACTCTCTCTCTCTCTCTCTCCCCTGTAGGGATTGCTTTAATCCCCGAAGGGCCCAAGCCCTATGAGAAACATATTAAAGAATGCAAAGAACTCTTTATCAAATCTTTTCATAGAATAAGATGTAAGCCTCACAGCGAAGAACTTCTTCCAAAGAAGCTACTCGCACATAAGCATCACTGGCGTAGTACCAAACAAAATCTCCATTTTCTTTCTCAGCCTTCCCAATGCCTTTTGTGCCTCCTCTCACGTATGCAACATAGTGGCCTCCCCTCATGGTCCCCAGGTGCTCCACCACCCCAACCAGACGGTATTTGTACATCTCTCTCTCTGTGCACCTGTAGTTTTAAATTGAGATAGATTCAGAAAATGATTTCACTTAAAAATACAAGACAAAGACATAATGCAAGCTTTGAGCTCACAGGCTATATAAGGCAATAAGCTACACCAACATATTAGATATCAGGAACCACCCATAGTAAAGCATGTCAGTGTAGATGAGCGTTGTCGGCTATCCACAAACAAAAGTGATGTCCCACTTGGATGAGTGCAAATATTAAAAAATAAAAAAACCAAAATGGTTCTATCAATGTCCCAATGTGTTAAATGGTGTTAAAATGTCCCATCAATGTGTTAAAAAAATAATAAAATAAAAAACCAAAAACATGCCCAAGAGCATTTATATGATTCTACTTGTTTTCCTTTACTAATTAGCTGTTCATAAAATGTAATTGGTCGGATAATTTTCATCCATGACACTACTAAATTGAGTGTTTAACTATATGCAAAAGAAAATGGCTGAAAATATTCTCACATCATTAAGTGGAAAAGAAAAAAAAAAAAAAAAAAAAGATTAAATAACTTGAGAATTCCTTTTTTTTTTCCTTCTTTTTCTGGCAGGCAGTTCAGGGTTAAAATAAATTTTATAGGATTTTATACACAGAAATTAGGTGCTCCAGATACCAGTCATCAACCCAAGTAAGAAATCTGCAGCACTCCAACCAAACTACTAGGTTAGATTGGGTTTTCAGTTATAAAGTAAAGGATCTTAATCAAGAAAAGTTCGAAATTTGAATATTCACGCAATCAATCCAATTAACTACAAAGAAAAACCCAATCCTCGATTGAGTTGTGAGAGAACCAAAGATTGCTAACTTCCCTCTTTCCGTCTCAATCAAACCAATCCAAACCCCAGTTTACTCAGAAAGACAGCACCACTAAGAGATGGAAGGCTGGAAGGGAGAAAGAAGGGCTGGTACATTCAAAGACACAGCTGCCCAGTTGAGAGATATGGAAAAGAAGGAAGACGGTCCTTTTCAAAAATCTATGAAATACTTAAGGTTCTTTAAGAATATAAGTTCTTAAAAAAGAAAAAGAAAAAGAAAAAGAAAAAGAGAAAAGAAAACTTAAAAATGTAACAAGTTTGGATAATCTTAGTCCAACCTAGAAAAAGGATGCAGTTATCCTCCTCCTAGTAGTGGGAAGGTTAGTTTTCCCACATAAATCTAAGTTGGGATCAGTTTGAATCTTACCAATTTTCCAATACTTCTCTTATTGGAGTCATATCTACATGGATTAGATTATTTATCATGCACATCAAATATCAACTTGATAGGAAGGGGAAGTTGTCCAATCCTAGAACTCATGCACAATTTTTTAATAAAATATTATAATGAATTGAAACTACAATATGGAGTCTAAAGTCAATGAGATAGCTTTGAATCTCGAATCAACTTAATTTTCACCATGTATGACAATCATGAGAATTGAGAGAGGATAGCCAACCCACTGGTTTGCTTGACTGTGGATGAATATTAGGAAAAAAAAAGTTATCAAGTATAAGAACATTGATTCTTACATAAGGTAAAATTTGATTCTACCTCATACTTCATATATATATATATATATAATTTGGATGTCTACGGGCAATTGATCACTTAAGTGATTAATATGTGTCAATCTTTTGGTATTTTGCCATTCTATTTCGCATAGGCGGTATAACATTTGCTTTTCTTTTCTTTTTTTCTGCATTAGATGTAACTTTCTATTTCTTTGCTTCCCTTTTCAATCTTTTCGTAGTCTTTTTAGTATACACATATGAAATACAGTAAGAATTTAGGGGATAACTATCCAACTTTTGAGTGATAATGATGCAAATTCCTAACATAGGGCTAGCCTAGTGCAAGAACTTTACCTCCTCACGTGACTTCCAGGTCACAATGGAGCAACCATACAAATTCTTAACATTTTTTTTATAAGAAATTTATAAGGCTGCATTTATATTGAATTCGGTAGTCTCGGCTGGTTCAGAAATCAACAGTTTAAGAACTTAAAACATATTTATAATCATAGGAGAAATAATGGTCATACAAATGTTTGTGCAGGTAGTGAGTACTGAGCACAAGATGAGACCTCCTACATAAAGTTATATCTGTATTCAACTGTTACAATTGTGTTTAATCGTTGGAAAAACCCAGAACACCGTTAGTTTTGACATACTTATCATGGATTAAGTTTTTTTCCTCATAAATATTCATTTTATGAAGATGTCTTTTCTCGTACATTCTGAATTTTGGTCAGAACTCTGTAGTATTACATATTATTTTTCAAAATGTATCTCATAGCTTAAAACCTTCTCTGTAGTTGCCTATCGACATCATAAGGAAAGAGTGTACAGTGAAAACCCACCACTCTGACTGTCCACTTCCATCTGTACAATGATTACAGTGTATGTTATCATGCAAGTAACTAGCTAAGATAGGCAATATACCAATATATGACAACAAAATATTAAAAGTGTATAATCTATGGAAGTTGCATTATCCTGATTGTGCAGTTGAAATAAAGAAGAGAGAACAATGACAAATAATGAGCATCGTGAAATAAAATCTCATTTCATGGATATACATTTCATATTTGGTGTGCATAAGGTGAATAGCAGATCTGTTAGAAGACCAGGACATAAAGGGACATTACCCAGTTTTGGTCCCGCTGTAACAAGGTCTTAAGGAGGGAGGGCATTACCCAGGACTGTTAGAACATCTACTGAGCCCAAAAGTTTAAGCTGATAGAAAATGGACCCAACGATGCATATCAAGCCCCAATACCTCTCTCGCATGCAACTCCGTCTTACAGGTGGTGAGGTAAGCAGACCAAATCAAGGCCATAACAAAGCGTGAACTTGCACATCAAAATGAGGAAAAAATGCAGGGATGGAGACTTAAGAACTCCCAGGCTGATATGATGTTAAACCACTAATTGCAAAACCAAACAGCCCTCAAAATCAAGGATCTAATGCCATGGTAGACTACCAATTGCTCCAAAATCTTAAATTACTAAGGAATAGATCTAGCAATCTACATTAAAGTCTCTCACACCCTCCGTTATGTGCAACACAATTGCACGTGGAGAGGCAAGCAGGAAATCAAATTGGACAAAGTACACAACAGAATGCGGAAAAAATGGAGAAATGGAGTCTTAAACCCAACTTCTCCTGGATTTGAAGCTTTGACACCATGTAGAATATCAATTGCTCCAAAAGCTTAAGCTATTAGAGAATGAATTCAACAATTGGTGGTTTAACATGGTATTTATAGCTTTGATTCTGGGAGGTCTCGGGTTGAGTCTCCATATATGCATTTGTTCCCCAATTTGTGTGCAAGATTGAAATTTGTTGGTTTGGTTTGTTTGCCTTGTCCCGTGGAAGGCAATTGCACTTGGATGAGCGTGTTGGAGTTTGGTATACATTATCGGGCCATTCTCCACTAGAATAAGCTTTTGGAGCAATCGGTAGTCTAAATTTTTTAGAGCTTTGATTCTGGTGGGTCTTAAGTGCAAAGTCTCATCTTTGCATTTGTTTCCCAATTTGATGTGCAAGTTTTCACTTTGTTATGATCTCGATTTAATCACTTTGCCTCATTACGTGCAAGATGGGATTGCACATGAGGAAGGGTGTTGGAGCTTGATATACATTATTGGGTCCATTTTCTAACAACTCAAACTATTGGGACAACTAGCGTTCTAAGTTCCAACACGATATCAAAACTTTAGACTTGGGAGGTGTTGAGTTCCAGTCTCTATTATCGCATTTGTTCCCATTTTAGTGTGAGTTTTCACGTGTGAAGTGTATTGGAGCATTATATATAATGTTGAACCCATTCTCTAATAGTTTAAGCTTTTGGAACAATTGGTAATCTGGCAAGATCTTGACCTTGTTCTGCCTCCTGGCACTACAGTCCTGTAGATTTGCCGAAGATTTGCCAAGGAAGGAAGTGAAACTAACTAGCCAATCTCACAATATATTTAGCAGAAACTACTACCACTGTAATTTAGATAGACCACCCCAGAGCCATCATGCCTTTGGAAATATGGTACATGCGGAAAGTCATTTTTACTAAGGAGCAGATACTCCATTTCTTATAGCCATAAAATTTCCGAATGATGATAAACATCACTATGAAAAGCACATGCAGCAATCAGGGACGGACCCAAAAACATAAGTGAGGGGGGGCAATGTGAATTTTTTTACTAATTTCAGGGGGGGCAATAGTATAATTATATATTATATATATATATATATATATGTATCAAAATTCTAAAAGTATTAGGTATACTACTAAAAAAAAAAAATCAGTGGGGGCAATTGGGCACACATTGGGTCTGTGCCTGCAGCAAATAGCAGGGACCAAACTCTCATTGTTACAGTAATTATAAAGCCTGAAGATTTATCTTTTAGTAGGAACTGCACCCATACATGTACCAAATCGACATGACATGATGTAGGTACGGGTGTGGGATATGTATCTGACGTACATATCCAAATTGGACACTCTGATTCTCCAAGCGAAAAGATGGAAGAAGGAAAAGGTCAAATTTGATAGCAGAGAAAGATTTCCTACATGTGAGATGGATGGAAACCTCTTTACTTCACAACATCCTTTTCAATTACACTCTAACAGAGTATACGTTAAACAACAAGAATGTGTCTACGTACCCATACCCAATTTTTGGACACATTTTCCGCCTCCTAAGATTTGAGATTTGGGGGGTGTCCAATACTTAGAAACATGTCCACACCCAAGATCTGCACCGGAGTTCATGTATCATAGCCCATATATATGCGAGGAAGTTAAAGGGCATGGAAACGAAGTGCAATTGTTATAGAACTTCAAGAGACTTCTCTTTTATGTTTTACTTTTAACTGGCAGATCAAGATTGCAGATTTCTGTTACATTAAGCATTAAGGTAACATAAATGGCAATATTGGTTAAACTGCCTTAGTGAACTGAATTTGCAGAGGATCTTCAAGCTTGATCAAATAGGTAGTTTATAGCTCTTTTGAATCCCTAAGAGCATAGCAGCAGAAGAAATATTGTTGTGCCTAAACAAACACCTGATACTTCAATAAAATTTGTTTGTTCAAGGGTTTTAGGCACCGAGACATAACTAGGCTAGGTCCTTCCTCAATATTACTTGCATTCTTTTAAACGAACTTTTAAATTTATGTTCAGAAAGATCACAAGATAATTGGGATAATATTTTAACAAATAACTAAACTTGGGATTCTACACTCTTAAATTTATTACCCTATATTATTAATAACTTACTTTTTTATGTAAATAAGGATCCATTAGAAAGTGCTATACAGGATTGCACCTAATAACGTACATTGGTGTTATACAGGAGCATCCTAATAACTTAAAGAAAACATAATGAGCATGCCTAAGTCAATGATTGAAGTGTCCAAAGCGGCCAACAGGGCTACCACTTTTAAATCATCAATGTACTTCAATATCACTGGAAACATTCATCCATATCTGAACTAAGAGAGAGAGAGAGAGGAGAATCTTATTACTGGATTCCACTCATACTAGGCGATTAGGCAAACACAGAACTGAAGCTATTTGAATGGGGCAATCTTCTAGATCAATAAAGTTGGGGAACTAAGAAAAGACTGGTTACCAAGTAAGGAAGCAAGCATGGGAGATGGCATGATTTAGGTGAATTCCTTATGATAAAAACTCACTGAATAACTGGCATTCCATATTTTCAGTCTAATACGATCGGAATTCTACATTCAAGAATCTTGTTAACCCAATCTGTTCATGTAATACAAGTTTTGATGCCTAGGGTAGAATGTTAAGAAAAGCCTCCATTTTGCCCGGGAAAGAAATGTTTTAACAAGCTTCAACGTATTGGATTTGAATGAAATAACAGTAGTCTTTACTCAAGACTACACTAATATATAATAGGAAGGCCAATTGAAATATCTTAAAATTACAAAACAATTGTAACGTCATCTTAGTGGTGAAAACGCTAGCATTTCCTGCTCACACATGTACATACATATGCAATTGTGTATATGATGCAAGCCAAGAAAGAAAGAAGGGTTGAAAATAAGAAGAAATGAGGCTAGAAGAAAAAGGGGAGAAAAAGACGAATGTGATAAGGAATCAAATTTAAGATATGAAGAGGTAAGCTACACAGATTCAGGGGTTAAGAAGAGCAAGAATAATGAGAGAAGAGGAATGCAATAGATAATTAGGAAATCACCAATATTATTCAATTACATGCGCCCTCTTATAGGAAAACCCCAAATAAGAAACCCTAAAAATTAAAGAAAATAAAATATCCCATAAAAATCAAAGAAATGAAAATATTATAATAACCCTAACAAAATGCCCCAACACCTATACCCGACATAGGTGCGAAGCCCCTCATGATCTCCAGTATTTATATGACAAATGCATTAAGAATAATTAATTGGAAACAACCAAGTAAGCAACTACAAAAAAAAAATGCATGGGAATATTGAAATTAGCATCAGTGTCATATGAAAATCAATGATAAAATGAGTACGAAGTCATAGAAGATGTATCATCAACTTCAACACATCACTTTGTTCAGTATAATGTTTCTAAAAATGTTTATCGATATATTTTAGAACTTTGCAAAAGTGTTCAAATTAAGACGAACAAGAAGCAGAATCCAATAAATTACAAGGTTACAAAATTTTATAGCACTGCAAAAGTTACTTTTCTTGGTGCCGTATAACCACTGTCAACTCCAGTATCCTGACTCACTAGAATGAAATAAAGTAATATAACTTCTTTTGCCAGCAAATTCAATTGGGATCAAGGATTATGATGATGATATTACATAGTACATACTATAATAAAGTGATTTGTTAAATCATGTAAGCGGTTCAACAGAAGACATCACAATTAGTTGCAAGTAAATGCACCTCTATTTGGTACTACTATAGAAAAACCAATTCGAAGGCAGAAAAAAGGAAATAGAAGGGGAAAGAAGGAAGGAGGGAAAGGGGGTGTGGGGTGGGGGTGGGGGTGAGGGGAAAGAGAGACAGAGACAGAGACAAAGCATCAACACTGATACTCAAACGACTACAGATTCTAACTAATTCATAATTTGATCATTAATTTAGACTCTAGAATGCATGGAACGTGTGCACTTGTTTCAATTAGTTCAATACTTTCTTATATAATCTGATTGATTGCTTAGAAGAAATAGGCTAAGAAATGATATCCTGGAATCCTATAGAAAGTTGGACTTCTGCAAATGTTGTAAGTTTCCAAAATTATATTTTCTCTTGTTGGACCTTTTTAGATCATTGGTGAAATTTTTTGTCAGATGTTTCTTGAAAGGGTGCCTCTATATAATTCTATAAAGATTAATTCTTACAACGTTACTAGAATACGTGCATAACATAATAAATTTTGAACCAGAAGGATAAAGATAGAATTCAGATTTTCAACCTGATAAAAGTTCCAAGATAAACCCCATTACAATAATGTTTGTTGTAGTATTTAGGTTTTCATCCTATCCTGAAGGAATTTTCTATTCAGGAAAAAAATACAGTCACTAAAGCAGTCCAATCACCGAAGGAATCAATGCTAATGATAGCTCTCTCCAAATTGAACCCATTGTTTCTCTGAATTTTGTAATAACTATCAAGACTGAACTTCGTGCAGATATCCTATGGTATTTCCTAAATTTGGATAAAAGAATGATTAAGGCTCTCAAAAATTTGTCTATACAGTATCAAATTGCCTAAATAGGCGGAGATGGAAGAGGTAATTGTACAGTATGTTTTCATTTGAGCTGTAGCAAATAGCCAAAAATTTCTAATTGTTATTTGCAACCAAACAACATAATTTTACAAGGTTCGGTTTCACAAATATAAGGAACCAAATATTGGAAGCCGAACTTTTTTTTTTTTTTTGGGGGGGGGGGGGGGGGGGGGGAGGTAGGAAGTGGGTTATGATTATCCCTCGCATTTTGTAGCATGCATATTTGGGAATATCTCAACTGTGCCTATCCAGGGATATGTTTTTGAATGTCCTTTATGGATCACATGTACATTCTGTAAAACTGAGAAACACAAATAAAGAGTATTGCTTAAGTTAATTTTGTGATTTAATCAAGACATATTCTGATTCCAGGTGAGTTGTTGATAATGGTTTATTTATTTTTTATATATTTGATGCTGCCATTCTTGTAGGTGTTTTGATTTACTTGAGATTCAAATGAGCCGTCCTAACAAATGGGTGAAACAGATGAGGATTTTGAAGTGAATGAAAAAGCAATGTTGTGTCAAATGAGTTCTTTTCTTTGATTGCAAGCAATCTAATAATTCTAGCTGCTTCTTTATGTCCCTCTCCCCTCTCTCTTGTTTGATGTTATTTCAAATGTTATGTTACTAGTTGAGCTGTGACCTTAAACTCGAGCTCAAGTATGAGCTTGAGCTTGGCTTGTTCTTCTGAACGAGCCTAGTTTAGCCAAGTATGACCAGCTTGTGATAATTATGGTCAGCCAGGCTCAATCTTCTGAGTTTGTTAAAAGTCGGAGATGCCTGAGCTGAACCCACAAATGAATGAACTGAACTGAACCTGAACAGTCTTAAGCTCTACTCGGTTCATTTGCAGCCCTAGGATTATATAGCTAATAAAAAGTCCAAATGAAGGTTTAGAAGCACACCTTGGATCCATGTACAAGCTGAGATCAATTGTATCTTCGAAGTTCACATGGCCATTCAACTTACTCAAGCGACCACGGGCATCTTGGCTGAACCTCTTCAGATGAATGGTCAAAATAATTGGAGACCTATAAATGAGAATTCTTTTAGTTGCATCTCTCTTTACTTTCACATTATCTGTATCCGTCTCCTCATCATCGCTTCCTTCTGATGCACATCTTTCAGCTGACAGCTGGGATTCCCCGTGTTCAACTTTATCAGTGTCACATCCAGCACAACTAGGCTCTTGAACACTGGAAGAATCACTGGGTTGACCACTGGAACTTGCTTGACTGCAAGGTTTATAGCTGCTTGAAGACTCTGATAGCCCTGGAAGTGCATCGTTCATCACACCTTTCCCCTTTTCCAAATGGCAAGCTACTGGGTTCAGCTCAGCTTTCTGGGTGGTCTCAATTATGCAGTTGTCATTACCATCTACTTTCCCATTACGAGATGCTAAGCCTTTATCAGAAGTACTAAGTGCTTCCCCTTTGATATTTCCATTACCACGGTTTCTGACCTCATTAAGAAAAGGATGGTCATTGCCTAAACCTAATAGAGCATTTTGAATTTTATTCTCACCTCCATTTATCCCAATCTTTGATGTTGGTTTCTCCTGTCTCTTCCTCGATTTCATCATTTGCTTTCGCAAAGCTTTTGAACAATTCTCACAATGCCAACCATGTTCATTGGAGAGAAGCTCTGGTTTTGTGAAATAAGCCAAACAACTATCTATGGACACTGGAGAATCACTATCAACTACATCTGGGTCAGAGTCACTATTTCCAACTATGGAACCAGTACCTGCAACTTCATTTGCCTGAAAATTCTTATCGCTTGAGAAGGGTTTCACGTTAGGGGCTCCAGCTGTTTCAGGCTCATTAAACAAGTCTCCAAAACCATCAAAGTCCAATGAATCTTGTTCATAAGCAACTGTCGAGGAGGAGACTTCACCTTCTCCTCTTAATATCTCATCAGGAGCACAAGTATCTTCTTTGTATGGAAGCAAAATGACTGCAGAATCTTCACACTGTAATGGGAGCTCATCTTCCCAAGAATTACCCGCCAAATCCACTCTCTGATTTGACTCAATATAAAATGGGCAAACCTGACTACTTGAGTCCAAGTCATTCTGATCAGCATCCTTGTTTCCAGAATTTTGAGTCACCGAATTATCATTAATTTGTGAAGCCATATGATGATTGTCTGATAATGGACCTGGTTCAACGTAATCCAACCATGAGAAATCACCAAGAGAAGAAGCAGTTTCCTCCATATGAAGTGGACAAATCTCATTACAAGATTCCAAGTTATCATGCGATATGACATCATTATGTATAGCATCCTTGTTTATAGAATCTTGAATAAATGATAGATCATTGGTTTGTGAACTCATATCACGGTCGCTGGCCACATTAACCTTGTCACTGGCCACATTATTTGGGCTAATCGATTCTGATGACCTACATTCACCTGAAACATCCACTATATTTTCTGCAACAGGCACACTAGATTGTACTCCACCTGACCTGTCACTGGTTGGTGGATCTGAAACATTTTGATATGCTACAGGATCTATGCCTCTGTTACCTTTTGCACGAATCCTGCCACTTCTCTTTGGAGGCAATTTTGATTTCTTGCCTCGGGAGATTGGTTGGGCCTTTTTAGGTGGAGGTTTCTTTGTTGGAACTGGGAGTGAGAGATCAAGAAATGGCTCATACACTGTTGAGGAGTGTCCACATTCCAAACAACAAACAGTACTGGAGAGCTTGCCCCCAAAGATAGCATCTACAAAAGTAGGACTCACATTTGGAGAAATCTCATCGTCCTGAGAAGAACCCACTTCTTTTCTTGAACATGACTCTTCTGTACATAACCCATCAAGTAAGCAACGGAGCAACTCATGACTGTCATGCTGCTGATATCCCCGAAATTGGGGAGCCTTGGCACAAACACACCCAAAAAAGGATCTTGGATTTATCACATTTTTAAAACCTGCCACCGGGTTAGTTTCATTATAAAGCTTCTGCAAAGAAACAGTAAGAGGCCCAACAGACCTATCTAGTTTCAAGAGGTAATCTCGCAATCTATCCATTGCCAAAAGGTTCTGCGTGATTGAGTTGAAGAAACAAGTGTTTCCCAAATTAACCAAGCCTCTTACCACATAACCACCTCCTCCATCTAAACTACTAGACACAGTGTTTTCTGAATTTATTTCACTTGTAACTTTGCCACTCCCAAGCCAAACATCCTCAACATCCACTGAGGCTCCTTCAGATGATCGCCCCTTTATCATTTTCACAATATCTAGTGACATATCTCTCTGTTCACCATTCTCTTCTGATTTTTCAACTGGAATTAGTGTATTGCACGGGAAGCACCATTGAAGATGAGGGTTCTCAAATTGAACAGCCAACGGATGGCGGGTTTTCCTGGCATGCTGAACTGCATGGCTTTGAGAGGTAGTTGGGAGTCCAATCCCTCCACACGAAAAATGTCCACAATGCAAACAAACCCAAATGGCTTTAGACTCTGGTCTTGGATCCCCAGAACCACCTCCTTTCTTCTTCCCATGTTTATTCATCCCCTTATTTGCCCGCCTACCAACGACACTTTCCCTGCAATCTTGACATCGAATAGGTTCTGAAGACCCAATTTTTGAAGAAACTTTAACTAAATCAACACCCTTATCAAGATGAGGACACACTTTCCTCTCTTTCACAATTGAAACTCCATCATCAACAGTCTCAATACTTGTTGGAATGCTTTGTCGGGAATCAGTTTTCAGAGAAGGGGCCACAACCCGCTTCTCCTTATGACCACTTCGGGCCTTCTTCTTAACCTTTTTCCCCATTAATTCCTAAATCCAATCCAATGAAAAACCATAAAAACTGCAACCCACAAAGTAAAACAAAAAATATCACTGAAGGAAACACCACAAAACAATCATCAAAAAGTCAAACCAATCCAATCCACAAGCCACAAAGCAAACCCACATATTTAATTTATGTACTGTCAAATGATCAACGAAAATAACCAGAAATTCACAAAGGCACATGTCCAATAATACAAAGCCATCATCTATTCATATATATACACATATTGGGCACACACACAACCCATAACAGATTTGTGTTTCTGAGAGATGCCCAGATGGTGTTAACTAAAATAAATAAAATAAGAAAAAAACCTGAAAATCCGGAGAGAAACCAGAGATTGTTCGAGGAATCACCAACGAATTCGCGTTACATGGGCAGAAAGAGGAAACTGATTGTTGGGAGATTAGGATCTAATAGGAAGTGTAAGAAAGTGTGAGTGAGAGAGAGAGGGAGAGAGAGAGAGAGAGATAGAGAGAGAGTAGCCAGTGGCGTGCGTATCATAAGGTGTTTAGTGCACCATCTACTCCTCTACTACTCTCTCTCTTTCTCTATGAGAGAGATACAGACAGAAGTGGTAATGGCGGTGAAAAACAGTGTAGAGACAGAAGGAGAGTGAGCGACCGAGAGGTAAAACTATGATATGAATGGAAAACAGACGCCAATGAAAGAGATAAAGAAAGTTTTTCTGTGTGACAATTGTTTTATTTTATTTATTTATTTTTTTAGCAGTATCCAAATGTTGAATCAACACTTTTGATTAGCCCAAATTAAGTGACGTGTGTCTAACCCTTCAGATCTAATGGTGATATTTGAGATAACGAATCGATTGTTTTTGGATTTAGCATTATAAAAAGTTTTATTTAAAATTTAAATTGATTTCTTTTCTTTTTTTAGTTTCAAAGCAACCAAAAAAAAAAAAACTGAGGACTTTTATGCTTTGTTTTGATAGGAAGAAAAAAAAAACATAGATGGAACGGATGGATGAGATGTTGGTGTGGAACAAATTTTGTTCTTCTTTTTTTCTTTTATTTGGTTGCAAAAAAAAAAAATTACTTTGTTTGTCAAGAAAGAAGAAAAATAGAATTTTAAACTGTTCTCATCATTATACTCTGTCACCTTTTATAATACTTCCTTGAACTTTTGTGCTCTGTTAAAAAATGTTTCAAAATAAAACTTATTTCCTTCTATAATTAGTTTTTCAAATTTTAGGGCCCGAATGTAATTTTCACTTTTAGGTTCCGGTGAGACTATGATGACCCAAATTTTGACGAGACAATAGAATTTTCGGTGACTAAATTGTAATTGAGCTATCAAATTGGTAACAATTTCCTACTTATACTTTATTTAAAAGTCGTTTTTAAAGAAAATTATATGAAATTCTTTCACGTTGGAAATTATGTTTTGAATTTAAAATTTTAATTTTTTAAATTAAATTCTATTATGAATATTACCGGATGAAGAGTAATACATAGGTTTATAGAGGTATCACCCTGCGAACATAGAAATTGTTGAATATGGTGTACAAACATATCAAAATTCAATGTCCTAGGAGGCTATTCCAGTGAAGTATGTTTTAAAACACTGAAAGGTACAATTTTTGGTAACGGTTAAAGAGGATTTAAAAGGTACAATTTTTGGTAACGGTTAAAGAGGATTTAAACTCTCAGTCTTCAAGATGTGAAGTGAGTGCTTTGCTAAGAGGCTATTCCAGTGAAGGTTCATAATATATAATTAATATATTAACCACAATTTTTTTTATTTTTATTTTTGAGAAGTTAAGTATACATACTTTAGTCACATAAAGTGGGAGCGAGAGATAAAACGGAAGCGAGAGCGAAAGCGAAAGCGAAAACGAGAGCCATAGCAAATTCGAACGCAGAAGCGTGAAAATAGCAAAATTAAATTACAAATAGTGAGAATTTGAGGTAGAACGTACTCGAAGCGTGAGAGCGACATTCGTCGAAAAAGTTTGTGCGACTTAAATACATATATATATATATATATATATTGGAGACTGTACAATGACGTTGGGGCTTAATATGATAACAAAGAGCAAGCCCAACTACAAGAAATGGTCCAACAAAATGATGAAGTCCAGCCCAATACAACAAAACAGGAAGAATTCCTCTTCAGATAGATAAAAACAGTTGTTGGTACTAGGTCAATTGTAATCGCTAACAATGGGTATTCAAAGATCCGGTGAGTTCAAAGAGAGCTGGACGGTGGAGCTACAACAATGGTGTCATGGGGTCTTGGAGAAGGTGAAACACAATCAGGGTATACATTCCATTCTTCAAGGAGTGCTCGAGATTAGAGCAGCCTTTTAGGATCCCGTGGAGAGCTTAGATGTGATGGTCTCAATTATCCGAGAAGGGGGCAAATTTTAGTACATCCTAGCATTAGGTACTCACCTATGAAGCACAAATACAAATACATGATATGGGTATGACACGATGCAATTATAAAATATGAGTACGTCATGAATACAGCAAAAAATATAATATAATATAATATATATATAATAATAATATATATATATTTTTTGCCATTTTATCCATATAATCATACATAAATCACTAATTATTTTTGTTTTCTTAAACTTAATATTGTTTTTCTAATTATCTCATAATATGTTTTAGATTGCATTGAATTCCATATTTTTTAAAAAAAATACTTACAAAATCGCTCCACTATATTCTGAAAGTGTCCAAAATGTGTTCATGCTTTGTCTCAACCGTGTCCGACCATAAAATAAAATATTTATTGTTTAGGTTACTTCTAACCGTATCCGACACTTATCTGAGTTGTATCCGCATATCAGGGAAGTGTTCGAGTGTCCGATACCGCCACCGCGCATTAAGAAAAGTATTTGTGCTTCCTAGGTACTCACCATATGTGGTAAACTGAGGACCTATAGCCATTTTACAGACAATATGTTGTGGATACCTTGACTTCCAATGATGACTCCGCTTATTATTTGTTAATATAGCCCCAATGTGTCTAATTTACACTAGCTTGTTTAGATAGCTCAATGTTGGGATGACCAACGCCACCTCGACTCTTAGGAAAACAAAGCTTGTCCCATGTCACTTGAGCACCAGACTTTTTGAGGTCTTTGGCAAACCACAAGAACCTTCTGAGAATGCATGTGAGCTCCTATAGTGTACTCTTAGGTAGTGGAAACGTAACAAACCATTAGTTTAAAGCTGAAACAAGGATGGATATGACTAATTGGACTCACTCTGCTCATACGATAATCATTTACTCATCCAGTGAGTAATTCTACTAGTAATTAAGTTTCTCAGTAAGTGATCTGCAATATGCTGCCTTTAATCTTGAAAAGGTCAATGGTACTCCAAAACGCCTGATGAGAAGAGTGCATACTTCATAACCAAGCATCGATGTGATGTTGAGTTGTGTTTTATGATCAACACCAGAGAAGAAGATATAACACTTGGACGTGTTAACGGTCAGCCCAGAGAGAGATGAAATCTTTTTTAGTGCTTCCTTTAGTACCATGACAGAAGGCAAGTCTCCATAGGGAAATAGGAATAAATCATTAGCATATATAGGAGGTTTGTGATATTCAACTTCTTACATGTCCAATAAAACTTGGAAGTTGGAGAGGAAAAGACTATTTGGTCAACAATAGAAGAAAAAACTTCCATAGCTAGAACAAATAGGTAAGGTGATAGTGGATCACCTTGTCTATGGCCTTTAACACCGAGAAAGTAGCCTTGAAATTCTCCATTGAGGGTAATAGTGAAACAGAGAAGCGATGCAAGCTTGGATTAGGGAAATAAAATGAGGGGGCAATCCAAGGAGGTGAAGAATGTCAATGATGAAGTTCCACTCCACAAAGTTAAAGCCTTTCTAATGTTTATTTTAAGTCTACATCTTGGGGAGATAGAGGGTAGATGATACGTACAGCCTAAGGATTTTGTGAAGAGGACGAAGTCATTAATCTTTCTGCCCTAGATCAACAAAAGTTGGTTATCTGCAATGCACTTATATATGACATTGTAGCAGGAAATACGCCTGAAATCGTGTAGGGAAGATGGGTCAAGGCATTTAGGGACCACTGAAATATAGGAGTTATTGATGTGCTTTAAGATCTTTCATTGTTGAAAAATTCAAAGATGGCCTATGTGATACTTCTACCTACAATGTGCCATGATTGAAAAAAATGAGCATTGTAACCATCAAGGCCTAGTGCTCTCAGCTCTGTTTAAATTGATGGACATCAAGCATTGCCAAATGGCTAGATCAGTTGGGATTGAGGACAGTGACTAGATGAAGCAGGAAGGAACAATCATTGAAATACATTTTTTTTTTTTTTTTTTTTTTTTAACGTAAGTCGAGGTTTTTCGCTTTTTGGAGGATCGAATGGAATCAAAGATTAAAAATTGGAGTGCATCTTATATTATTGCTGCAGTAATAAAGTTCGTCTTAAGTCAGGGTTGGCGGTTATTCTAACGTACATATTCTCGTGTTTTAAGATTTGCAAAGTGATCAAATTTTTATGGGCTACCTAGTGTCTCATCTATATCTTAAAGTGGATGGTGAGGTCGAATCCCCAAAAGGACTAAATAGATGTTGAGTGGGAGTAGATTTTATGTGTGTCATGCGTGCTATGTTAGCGTACTCATCCAATGACAATGTATTATTTAAAAAATAATAATAATAATAAGTCTACCTATTTATAAAATTACTGATAATAAGATAATATATCACACTTGACGTACCTAATATCTATTTGCTAGGTGGGGTGTGTTTTTCTTTTTCTTTTCTTTTTTTTTTTTAAAAATAAATAAATAAAATAAAAATAAAAATTGGTGGGCCAACTTGGAGAATCAGGAAAAGATGACTATTTCGTCCTAAATCGTTGGATGGGATTGGTTTTCTGAATCTGGAGACTTTTTCGTCCTAAATCATTGGATGGGATTGGTTTTCTGAATCCGGAGAGTTCATAAGGTTAAAAAAATAAAGGGTAATTTACAGTTACCTCCCCTGCAGATATGTCAAGTCACGCCCGCATCCCTCCTAATTTGGATAATTTCGGTTACCTCCCCTCTAACTCACCGGCGTTCATATCCGGTGACCGGAGTAATGAAGTTACTTCTCTATCCTCATTATCTTAATGTATATTTAATTCAAAAAATCTTTAATGTAAATTTACTTTTTTGTCCATCACATATTTAGTAATATCAAATTAGATTCAAAAGTAAACAAAGGGGGTCGACTTCAACCCATTGAAGCATCATGACCACCGCCGCCGTACTGTCTCAGCCAGGGAATGTGGACGATTGATTCTAACAGTCTCAATAGTCAATACCAATTGCAATGTGGACGATTTTCTAGGCTGGTGTTTCATTCCCCAAATTCCCAGTGAAGCCAATTAAATGCTTAGACAAATGGGTGGAGTATTTGGTCTACCGATGGTGGAGTGTGTAGTGTGGTTGTGCCTTCTTTTGTCATTTCACAAAATTATATACATATTTTTTATATAATTTATAAAATATCTCAATAAGGGCATTTTAGTCAAACTCTACATTAAATGTGTAAGTAAGACTTGTTTGCACAAATGTGATACTTTATGGTGTTTTTAGCACATGAGGAATGTAATATGCACCGTAAACATACTATATGGTGTTTTTTGCATTTCACCCATATATATAATGTGTGTGTAATGTGTATATACAAATAAAAGGCTAAAAGGTAAGAGGTAAGGACATTTTGGGAAGTTAATTTTTATTAAATAAGGTAGAATAATAGTACGAGGGTAGTATAGTCAATTTTAGGTTGAGA